GTATGTCGAAAACGAGCTTATTTAAACCCCCCTCCTTTTATTAAAACCCACCCGTTTATAAGATCTGGACTAAAATTCCCCCTCCCCCTCCCCATCTCTTGTACTGAGGTACTCAAGAATACAAGTGATAAAAGAATTTGGATCAGGACATGGTTTTTGTCATAACAATCATTTCAAAATAGGTGCAGTTCTTCAGCATCATAAAATCAAAAATTCCCATATATCTTTAGATTATTCTTACACTTAGTTTCAACGTTTTTTTAGTTTTAAAGTTTTTTGCTTGTTTTTTTGGGATCTCAATACCTACTGGATTGAAAGATAAACTCTTTTTGATTGAAAGATAAACTCTTTTTGATTGAAAGATAAACTCTTTTTGATTGGAAGATAAACTCTTTTTGATTGGAAGATAAACTCTTTTTGATTGGAAGATAAACTCTTTTTGCATTGTCATTTTTTAGTTTAATCTTTAAACGATAAGTTTAAGTTTTTTCTTGATATATTTTAAAGTAGTAAAATATATTAAAAATATTTAACAGGATAATCTGGTTTTTTTAATGCACATAATGTGTGCATAACTTTTTTCTTATAAATAAGATGTTACATCTTTATTGCAGTAATATATTTGATAGGAAATGACTCGAAATGCTCCCGTTCTTTAGTTTATATATCATAACGTCTTATCTATGGGAAGCTGATTTTTTTAAAAACTCATAACCCTGTAAAAATTTTGTTCGGGAAATTTTTTTCTTTCATCTTTCTTTATGCGATAGAAATAGATAAATTCTCTTTTCTTATGTGCTTTTGATCTAGGCTATTTTCTTCGTATATGTAGTTTTATTACAATGTCAATGTATTACTTTAATTTCAATGCCATCATGTCATTTTTACTATTGAAATTGTTTACAAACTATCTAGTACGTTGCATAGCAAAAACATTGGAAGTAAATAAAAAAATTAAAACAATTATGGAACAAAAATTCTGCAAAAAATTCTAGTCTATCACTGTGCCACATTCTTTTTGTGGTTTTTATGAGTTTCACTAACAATTTTTGTTTTTGTATATTCTTTTATGCTATAACTTTCACTCTTTCTTATATCAGAATCTTTTTCTAGATTTATGAACATTTTTGGCAAGCTCTGTATTTTCCATTTTTGTAGCAAATAGTGAGGTTTTGTGACATGTGATAGTTGTGTTCTTTTCAGGTAAAAAAGTCTAGGACTTGGACTGTTTTCGAAAAGATTTTGGCCTTAAAATTTAACTTGCAGTAGAAAAAGATTTGCTTTTTTTTACAAGCAATATATAAAACGCTTCAACTAAGGTGGTAAGGATGGAAATAATAATTAAAAAAAAAAATTTTGTGAATTTTTTTTTACGGTGGAATTTTACCCTTTGATATGTCTATTTTCATGCAATCTTAGCGGTCTAAATATCATATTTTGAAGTCACAAACAAAGTCGCAAACATTACTCAGACAGATAAATAAGCTGATTGAACATTTTATAATTTATATTATTTACAAAAATTTATTCTTTAGAGAACCGTATGTCTTTGAATTAAACTGTTTTAATAATTAATACAATTGAATTACATGAAGAAAATAGTAAAAATAAGAATATAAAGAACACATCAAAATATAAATTTTTTTTTTCTCGTATCAAAAAAAGAAAATTTACTGTGACACCTTGTGCTATTAGTGAATCCCTTCAATCATCCTCAGCAAAAAAGATTTCTTATACTGTTGATTAGTGTAACTCAGAGAGTTTGGTTGATTATATTGAAGACTTTTTCTAATTTCTTCATTTTAATGCGTTAGCAAATATTTATTGTGACCTTATAGCATGTCCTGATTGTGCTGCAAAAATGTTGCAAAGAGTAGTATGAAATGTGCTGCTGAAGAAGCTCAAAAAATAGATTTAGTAGATAACATTATGCGGCCGTGGCGCAGTGGTTAGAGCGCTTGCTTTATAAGCAGGAGATCCAGGTTCAAAACGAGCTTCGGACATTTTTCGCGTCACGGTAAGGAAGGAGGAGTGAACTTCCTGGTTAAATGTACTTCCGCGGTGCTCTGTGATAAGACCGTAAGGACTTCTTTGGGCACCTAAATAACAAAAAAAAAAAAAAAAAAAGATAACATAAAATGTGTACGTATTTCCATTGACGGTTCCTGGCAAAAAAGAGGACATGCCTCTTTGCACGGGGTAACAACTGCGATATCAGGTGATAAGTGTTTGGATATGGAAGTAAAGTCAAAGTACTGCTTTGGATGCAAAATGTGGGAGAATAAAAAAGGTTCACTTGAATATGATTTATGGAAAATTGATCACCACTGTCAAATAAATCATAAAAAAATCCTCTGGTGCTATTGGAGTCATCTGGTGCTATTGATATATTTAACCGTTCAATTATTAAGCACAACATAATTTACATAGAATATCTTGTACTTCATCTTTTAATGATGTTATTAGATCTGAACCATATGTTAAACATAGTTTAACACCGATTAAACTTGAATGCATTGGACATGTGCAGAAACGATTAGGAGCCCAATTACGCAACCTTGTTTAATCTAACAAGGGTACAAAAACTCCTGTCTCTGGAAAAGGTCAACTGACGGATAAATGCATTGATTCCATGCAAAATTATTATGGTATGGCAATTAGATCAAACCATTCCAATGTTTATGCCTATGAAAAAAGCCATATATACTATACTGTTTCATTTTACAAACACAAATGGTCCGCTTGAGCGTCATAAACTTTGACCTCGAGATACCATCAGTTGGTGCAAGTACTGGTCCAAGGGCCATAGGGATTATAAACCCTCCAATACAATTCTTTTTTGGAAAAAGAGTCTTCTTCTACCGATTTTTAAAGGATTTTATGGATAAGGATTTGTTAAAAAAATGTGTGCATGGAAAAAACCAGAATGCATATGAGGCCATAAACGGATTCATATGGTCAAGGTTACCAAAAACTGTAATTGTTGGCAGGAAAACCATAGAAATGGGTGTAAATTTAGCTACTATTCATTTTAATGATGGACGCAAAGAAATATTGAAGGTTTTAGAACACTTTGGTTTGAAAGGACAAGTTTCAAAGACAACTGTAACAAATTTAGATAATTTACGCATTAAGCAAATGGAAAAGAAGTTCACGGCTGCAGAAAAAAAGCATTGAAAAGGATTGCGAGCCAGATAAAAAGGATTTTTTAATAAAAATTAGTGGAAAAGTATCAGTAGATTCATATTAAACTGGTACTTACTGAGGAGATAACTTATTTTTTAAAGATTTTATTTTTGTTTTGCATTTTTCTGTTTTTTATTTTTTCCATTCTTGCTATAACTCAAAACAAGATAACTCGAGAGTTGAACATTTGACTTGAAATTTTCAATTTGTGTTTGATATGATCTAATACTCCGGATGACCCTTGGATTTTACATAAAACACTTATTATCTTAAGAAAATTCAGTTTAAGCTAAAATTTGAATGAACATTTGTTAAAAAAAAGTGGTATTTTCACAAATACTTAAATAACTCTTAGAGTAAAATGATTTATGCTAATCCTAAGGGTCATTCAGAGTATAATGTAATAGGATTTTAAAAATGATGTTTTTGAAACATGATATCTTGATAAAACAAAAGGATTTTCAATTTTGTTTTTGTTTTATCAAGATATCATGTTTCAAAAACATCATTTGTAAGGTCATAATTAACAAATTTTCCGCCATTAAGGATTTTCTATATAAAAATTTTTTTTTTTTTTTTTGCAAACTATTTCTTTTAATGTATTTAACAGATTTAATAAACTAAAAAATGCTGCATCGACGAATTTCAGAAAGTAGCTGATTTGCATCCCTACCACCTTAATAAAATGGCGCAAAAAAGTGATTGTAAAAAACGACTCGTGTCTTTTTTGAAATGACTGGTTAATGTTAATACAAAAGCGATTCATATCTTTTTCGAAATGACGGGTTTATGTTACAAAAAAAAAAAAAAAAAAAAAAATCTTAATCTTAAAATTTAGTCTTACCAAGGTAGTTACTAGGGTTGTTACCAAGGTAGTTACTAGGGTTGTTACCAAGGTAGTTACTAGGGTTGTTACCAAGGTAGTTACTAGGGTTGTTACCAAGGTAGTTACTAGGGTTGTTACCAAGGTAGTTACTAGGGTTGTTACCAAGGTAGTTACTAGGGTTGTTACCAAGGTAGTTACTAGGGTTGTTACCAAGGTAGTTACTAGGGTTGTTACCAAGGTAGTTACTAGGGTTGTTACCAAGGTAGTTACTAGGGTTGTTACCAAGGTAGTTACTAGGGTTGTTACCAAGGTAGTTACTAGGGTTGTTACCAAGATAGTTACTAGGGTTGTTACCAAGGTAGTTACTAGGGTTGTTACCAAGGTAGTTACTAGGGTTGATTTGATATATACAAGTCAGATATTATCAGATTTGATATATACAAGTCAACATATTATCTACAACAACAACAAAAAATTGTGATAAAGTTTTGTTAAAGTTTTGAATATTTTTTGCAAGCAAAAACTTTTTCCAAAATACTAACCAGATTTTTCCTGAGTATTTTAAATAGTGGCCTATTTTCTAAGTTTTCAAATGAGGACCCAATAAAAAACCAAAAAAAAAACCAAACATGTTTCGCCAAAATGCAAAAAAAGGTTCTTTCTGCATTGACATTTGACATAGATACAATCTAAGTCAAATGTCAATGCAGAAAGACACCGCTATTTAAAGGAATGTAAATATATACATTAAAAAATAAATAAATAAAAAATTAATTAATCCAATTTATGTCAAAATTTTATCACTATTTTTTAGTTAAAAAAAGTTTTTTTAAGTCTCCCGTAATTAAAAACCCAATCTTCTAAAGATTTCCATCTAAAAATAAAATCTAAGAAGCTTTACTTTTGCTCTATTCTTAATGGTTTAATCTTCATCAATATATTGTAAAAATATTAAATTCAATTTCGTCATAAATAATGATAAAATAATTCAAATCGGAAATAAAAAAAGCTTCTTTGTTAATGTAATTACCGGGGCAGGAATTTGAAATTCTCCATTTTTAGCAAGTTTCTCTTTGACAAGTTGATTCACTTTAACCATCATGCTCGCAACATCTTCCGTTGCTGCATAATTACTAAAGACGCTTACAACACTATCAATAAAATACGATCCGTTTTTTGTATGCCTCCAAGAGACATCTCCCGGAAAAGTAGAATATCCTAACAATATATCGCTTTGCAATGGTTTTTCGTGCTCATTTATAAAAGAAGTTAGACTGTCCATTGAGTATGTTTTTTGCGTTTGAGAACGATCAAAAGGTATATCAGATCGTATCGATACGAAACGATCAGATCGTATCGATACAACTTCAGTCATACCACTTTTTGGTAAAGTAAATTTCTTGCTTGGACTCAGTCCAGAATCGATAGCATCTAGTTTTTCAACAACTCGACAAGCTTGTATTAAAAATAATTTGGGTATACTTTTCACCTTCTCTGTCCCTTCACTTAAAATTTCTAGCAACTCTGATACTGCCACTAATTCACCATCTGTACCATATATTTTACCAGCTACCCCATGACTAAGCAAACAAACTATTAAACAACACCCGTGGTCAGGTTTTTTTGCTAATTCAGTAAATTTTTCAGAAAAACTCGCTGCATCAGCGTCATTAACAACCCATATTTTAAACCCGAGCTTTTCAAACAATAGCTTTAAGTTTTCCGCATCTCTCTCGGAACCCCTTCTGGAGGACATATATGAAAAATTAACATTGTTTAATATAAAGCACCAGCCTCGGGATGTTGACGTCATTGAATAGGAATCTAACATAGAAGATAAGAGCTGGGACGAACTTCGTGGACGAACTGCAACTTCTTCTTGTTTACCATCAATAATATCAAGATTGGCTTTGAGAAAATATAAATTTATATATTAAAACATCACACAAGTTACAATATTGTGGTTGTAGAAAAAATGCAAAATGCAAACCAATGAAACACTAATTTTTAAATAAAAAATAAATTTATTTTAACCGATTTATCTATCCTAACAGTTTTACATTTATTTTGTGCAAATATGATTAACATGAGAGACGGGTTTAATGAAATAAGTGTATATTACGTGGATGATATGGCTGCAGTCAAAATTATTGTTTCATGGTTCGCAAAAAATTTGCATTTTATCTGATAACGAGTTAAAAAAAAAAAAGAAAAGAAAAAAGACTATACCACTCTCAAAATTAACTTGCTTCGCAATTAATTGAGCCAAATGCTTGTAGGATGGGAGCATATTAAGAATATTATAAAACTTTGGCAAAACTTTAGGGCCTTTTCTTGGCAGTAGATCCATTAAAAATTCAACCCTATCTCGTCGCGTTTTTAAGTTGTCAATAACGTCTTTATCATTTTCCGATATAACATGTTCTTGATACAAAAAACCTGTTACATCATTCGGTTCCAGATCTTTAACAAATTCTAAACGATTTTTTAATAAGAATATTTTGTGACTTTTATCCATTGGAAGCAAATAAATTACTGAATGTTTAATTCGAACATATTATTTTGATATTATTCATAATCAATATTATTTATCTAAAAAGATCCTAAAGTTAAAATGTTCATTTTTTAACATAAAAAAACTATAAAAAAATTATTTGTTTATTATTAATTTATTTGTATTTGCAATTTGTAAATATCATGTTATTATAAGAGTCAATTTTACGCTATAAAATTAATATATGCTAATTAAAACAATTAATTAGTAACCAAAACATTAAACAATAAATTTCTATTCTATATTATACATCTATATTGAACGTATAACAACGCTTGAACATATATCAGTTATTATAAAAAATAACTATATTTCGATCTTTTAAAATAACAAAATGTTAGATTGATCAAACATTTTGACTTATTATGTGTACTATGTGTGTATGTAACTGTGTAAAAGATCTCTTATGCAATCGAGCTGTCATCAAAACATGACATAGCTCATAAATAAACATATATATATATATATATATATATATATAAATATATATATATATATATATATGTATGTATGTATATATATATATATATATATATATATATATATATATATATATATATATATATATATATATATATATATATATATATATATCAGTAATAAAAGTAATTTTTTGGTAGACAGTGCTCAATACATAAGTAGAGCAAATATATACTATATTAGAATAATAAAGTACAATTAAATTCTTAACATTACTCGGAGTTTCACTCATCAGAACGCATAAAGCGAGTAATGTTACAAATTTAATTATACTTTATTATTATACTAATATATATTAATATGTATGTATGTATGCATTTGTATTATATATATATATATATATATATATATATATATATATATATATATATATATATATATATATACATATTATGAATATTTGTAACAATTAAAAGATAAGTTCCCTAAGACTTAATTAATGAAATTAGCTTTAAAAGAAAAACTCTGACAAACAATTGAAGAACGCAATTCCCAATGTTTTTAGCTTCACAACTTGTTCTGCCATTTCCGCACACAAAAATCAGTAATAACAAGTATATCCTATAGTTGAAGAAATTTGATACAATTGATTTGAAGAAATTGGTACACATTAAACAAAACCTTCTAAAAACAAGTTATTGTTAAAACAAGTTATAAGTTGTCAGATATTCTTTGGAAAATATAAAAAATAAGCTTTTAATAATCATTAAAATAGTTGAAACAATATAAATAAATATAAACATAATAAATCGTCAAATATTTAATGCTTTATAACTTTTTCTTCCGCAAAGAAACCCCTTCTCCCTCGAATGCTCGAAATATCGGACCAGAATTATTCTAAAAGATCAAATAACAAAAAAATTATTTCATTAAAATTATTCTTTTCAATGCAAATAATCTATCAAGAAATTTTGAACACTGAATCGAACGAAAATATAACAGTTTTATTCAAACAAAAGAAAATAAAGATTTATCAAACAATCATATCGTTTTTTACATATCAGCTTATTAAGCATTTATAAGTCTTAGGATTAGTACTAATGGTACTAATTAAAATTCAATAAATAACATTTTGTACTATAAAGAGATATTTATTTACAACTGTAATAATAATATATAAATATGAATTACACCGCACTAAACCTAATTAAACCTAAACACCGCATTAAACCTAATCGGATTAACTATAACAATACAAACTTGTACCTCTGTTTGGTCAGAAGGTCGAATAGGTTTTCTCTTAAACACTAAAGTACCTATTTTATACTTCAGATCAGGTATACCTCTAAAAAAAATACATATTTTGTCAATATTCTAAAATCCTAGCATTTCTATGCATTTTTAAATTGTCCTTAATAAAACTCCAAAATAAACAAAAAAAACAAACCTTTTTATAATAATTGGTTTGACAGGCGATTCACCATCTACAATGTCTTTTGAACGCTTTTTTTTACCATGTAGAGTAACTCCTGTACCAGGAAAAAGCTAAAAATATAATTTTATACATCAACAACAGAAGTTTTATCGTGAATAAGTTAGGTTTATTTTCCAATTTATACCGGTCGTTGAATAAAATTCGCTAGTTTACTAATTTACGTGGATAAAACTTAAAATAAATAAGTTAAAGCAAATAAGTAAGAATAATTACAATTAAAATACAATTGATAAAAAAACCTTTTCTTTTCCTCTGTCTATATACTCTTCTGGAATACCATCGAATGATATCTACAAAACAAATATTTAAATTTAAATAACAAAAATTTATAAATACAAATAAAATAAAAAATCAATAAAAATTAATGACAAATTAAAAACGAACTTCATCTTCTTCTTCTGACTTTTTTTTCTCGGGTTCTTTTTTTGGATCAACATAACCAACAGGAGGTGCAAAATCAACCTTAATGAAAGTAAGACATGATTCAACATTCTCACTGTCGCAAGAAGTTTAATTAAATACTTTTATAAATTACAAGAAGACATCTAAATAAACATGCTTATTAACAAGAAGTCTTTAAGAAATTTTTAAATGTAAATGTTTATAAACATTCAAAACCATTTTGTATTTATAAACATAAAACCATTTTGTAATAGAATTATTACCTGCATGTCACACTCAATGATAGAAACTGCATCCTGTGGTTTAGTTTCAAGAACTAGTAATTCATAATCCTATAATATATGAGTTTATAATATATAAATGCAACTATATAATATATACAATTTATAAAAAAGATAATAATGATGTCAAAGCAAGAAGAGAAGATTTACGAGTTCTATTTGAATAATAAATTGCAAGGTAAAAAGTTCACAGTAGATCACTTCAATGCTAAACAAATTCCAAGAAATACTATCTATGATATAATCAAACGTGCTGAGAATGATTTCGGAAACAAAAGAGTCCAAGGAAGTGGTTGTGTGGCATAAATCATGATCCCCAAAGTGATCAAGTATCTGAAAACCATATTTAACTACAGTGATTGAGTTTCGATGAGGCAAGCCGGTCAAAAATTTGAATGCAGTCATTCTCATATCATTAAAACTCTTGCAAAGTACACTGACATCAAAACTTATACAAAACAGGGTATACCTGATCAACAAGAGAGCCAGATTGATCAAATCAAGACCAGCATTGATCATCATTATTGTAGTTTTCAAGGAAAATCGGTCATTCTTGATGAGGAGTCTTACTTCACTGTGTTGCACTCAACAATAAATGGAAACAGCACCTACTACTCTAGCCACAGAGACAAAACTCCACTGAGCATTAAATTTATCAAAAAGCGCAAGTTTGAACCTAAGTTGCTTGTCTGACTGGCCACTTCTGACAAAGATATTTCCAAGCCTCTTTTTGTCCCAGCGGCCTTGCAGTCAATAAAGTCATCTACAAAACGGATTGTTTTAAGATAAGATTAGTGCCATTTACCAATGCTTATCATGCCGATGGTAATTATATATTTTGACCAGACCTGGCCTCATTGCATTATGCCAAAACCTTGCCCAACTGCTACGAGACTCATAACATCAATTTTGTCAAAAAAGTTGACAAAATTGATGTTATGAGTCTTGGGCATTATTATATAAATTGGGCGACATTATGCCAGCCATACCATAATGTCGCCCAATTGAAGACTTTTAGGCTATTTTGAAAGGTAAAGTGTATTAGGCACGGCCTACTATAGCGGCAGGCCTAGTAAAGATACAGCTTAAAAAAAAACTGTAGGCAAGTTTTTATTTTATAAATTTCCAGTAACACGGCGCGTTTTAAAAAAAGAATGTTGTTTTTAACTTAATATGCAATACATTTTAATTTTATGTATATTAAATTTGTTTTCTTTTTAATAATTAAATTGGAAGAATATAGTTTTTAAGTGTTGTGTCACTGGATGCAGAGGTTGTTATAAAGCCTGTAAAAGTTTTTTGCCTTCCAAATAAAAAAAATGTGGATGAACAAAAAAATGGATAAGTGCTATAGCTCGAGATAATATTCTAGATAGCCCAAATACTTTTAATTGTAAAGATCATTGGCCTAAAGATAAGGAAAAAGTTTTAGTTTACACGAAGTTAAGATTAAAACAGCCACCATCCGTATTACCTCGAGTAAATTTAAGTCAAAATCCGACTCCACTATCACCACCAAGACCAACTACTAAATCATTGCCATTTTTAAGAAAAACTTTGCCTGATGAAATAGAGGCTTTTGTGAAAGCTTATAATATTTCTTTTTGCAAAGATTTGTGTAATAAAATAATGTCTAAAACTATATTAGCCGTCTCCATGCTGCAATATCCTATCTGAATTTTTTACCAATCGATAACAAGAAAAATATTATTATTGAACAGATGTTAAGTATGAACTCATTAATGTTTATTGGTGAAAAATGATATAACCTGATATGGTTACTAGGGCATTTGAGTACTTTTCCTTGTCAAGAACTCTTTACTTTCGATTATGTGATGACTACAAACTACCAAGTATATCTTTGACAATAAAGTTGACATTTAAAGTTAGAAATGTTGGAGATGATGATTTTTTAAAGTTGTATTTTGAAAAATGTTCTATATTCTACTAATTGTTGAAATTTATGTTAAACCATAGTTAACATATCAAGGAGCATTTAGTAACATTTTTGGTTAATCAAGTAACATTTTTGGTTAATCTGTAAATTCCCCAAATGAGTTAACAAAAACAGTTTTGGGTTTAATGATTTGTTCTTTATTTGGTGGAAAACAGTTTTTGTATAATGCTATATACAGTAACAGGTTTAGATACTAATTTTTAACACAATCAAACAGTGCAAACAATTGAAGCGATAAAAAAATGTGGTGGTTCTGTTGTTGCTATTCTTTGCAACAATAACAAAAAAAATTTCTATTTAAAAAAGATGCTATTGTGAAACTGTCTAAACTTAATGAAACATCAGTTTTTACTAAACCAATTGAACGTCAAAATATGTCAACTTGTTTAAGAGTATTTTGAGGTGAGACTGTAGCTGCTATAAAAACTTATCCATCCATGAAAAATGTCGAAGACACCACAGTGTTTTTATCTATTTTTATCAAATTTTTTAAAATTGTTAATGTTAAAGGACTTTATGAAGATATTTGTACTAGAGATAAATATCGTGCTGTTTTTTCATCAAACAATCATAAGTGATTGAACTTTCTTTTAAATTTGGCTGATATGATTGAAAAAATGGCTCCTGAAAAACAAGGTCATAGACTAAAAAATTTAACCAATACTTCTCGTGCTTTTTCCCATACATGTTGTAAGATGGTTGAACTAGTAAAACATTTACTAACTACAAGTCATAAGTATGCTTGGCATGGACATTTTACTAGTGACCCTATTGAGGAAGCATTTGGAAAACTTCGACAAGGATCAGGTGGTACCTATTTTATGAATGTTCAGCAAATATTACAAAAAATCGATTAAAAAAACAAAATTTTGTCTAAATATTGGTATCACTGCTAATGATTTAGAAGTATCAAGCCATTTGTGTGACAAATGTTATTATGTATTGCAAGATGATACTTTGCTCAATGTGTTTCATAATCTTCTAGTTATTAAAGTCCAAAGAAACTAAAATGTCTTTGGTTTATATTTTTATTAATTTTTTTTTATTTGCATTCACTCCTAACAAGGCTGCAAGCAACCACTATTAAGTTGGGAGTTACTAGGAAAAAAAAAGAACAGAGTTATAGAGCAAGGAAACGGTTGACAGAAGACTTGAAAAGTTGAAGGTTGTATGAGTCAGGAAAACATGAAGATGGGAGAGAGTTCCAAAGGATTGAAGTGCAGAGAAAAAAACTAGATGAATAAAAGTTTTTAGAGAATGCAGGGACAGATACAGTAAACGAATGAGACTTAGCTGAATGACGAGTAAAACGAGAATGAATTTTAGTTGATAGAACTAGAGATGATAACTCCTTTGAGCAGTGACCATGATAGTATTTGTAGAAAAGAGAAAGAGATGCAACTTTACGACGATGGGACAGAGAGCTTAGCAGATAGTCCAGGTCCAACAACATTTACAATGCATTTTTGGACCTTGTCAAGAAGAGAAAGTGAATCGTTAGAAGAACCAGCCCAAATATGACAACAGTATTCCATAGTAGAGGTAGAGAATGGAATCAGAAGTAAGGAAATGGCGAGCATGATAAAGAGAAGCAACCTTAGCAGAAGCTAATTTAGCAATCGATTGTATATATGGTTTCCATGAAAGGTCAGTAGTAAGCAATAATCCAAAAAGACGTAGATAGGACGACTCAGTAAGAGGATCACCATTCATTAATATTGGAATGTTGACCACACTACGGTAGTTGTTTGCAGTAAACAACTGGGTTTTGTTAGAGTTGAAATTCACAAGCCACTGTGAACCCCAATCTATTACTGAAGTGAGATCGGATTCAAGATCAGCTGCTTGTTCTAGGCGATCGAAAAGAGAAGACTTTTTGTCAAGACAGGAGTATAAAGTTGAGTCATCAGCAAAAAGAGCTACTTTAGATGAAAGGTTGTCAAGAAGATCGTTTATGTAGATAAGAAACAAAACAGGGCCCAGGATGGAACCTTGGGGAACCCCAGAAGTTACTGGAAATAAAGAAGAGTGTTGGCCTTCAAGGATGACTTTAATAAACCGGTTAGAAAGAAATGATTTGATAATCTCAAAAACTTTCCCAGAAACACCATATGAAGCAAGCTTATGGAGAAGACCAGCATGCCAAACTTTGTCGAAAGCTTTAGATATGTCGAGAGCAATAGCCCTAGCCTCACCGCCTCCATCTAATGCACGATAAAATCTTTCAGTTACAGCAGTTAGCAAGTCGGCCGTAGAGCGAGAGGATCGAAAACCGTATTGATTGTCTGACAGTAGTTTATTTGACTCAAGATGAGATGTGAGGAATTTGTTGATCAAAGACTCAAAGACCTTGCTAATAACAGAAAGAAGACTGATCGGAAGATAATTGGAGGGATCAGAATTTTCTCCAGAGTTTTGAATATTGGAACCACAGATGCCATTTTCCAACAAGCAGGAAAACAAGACTCAGTCAAACACTTGTTAAACAGTTTAGAGAGAACTGAAGAAAGTTCTGGAGAACAATTCTGCAAGACTGTGACAGGAATCTGGACCACAAGCTGTAGACAAGTTTAATTGAGATATGACTTTAGCAACAGAAGCCGGAGTGATTTAAATGTCTAACAATGGGTCAACCTGTTTGACTGGAATGGAAGGAAGAGAATGTCCATAAGATTCAAGAGTGGAATTAGAAGAAAAGTTCTTTGCAAATAGTTCTGCCTTATCCTTGGGAGAGGTAATAAGATCAGTCCCATGAATGAGAGATGGAATGTTAGATCTACCCTTGTTAATAATGCTGTTAAAAATTTTCCAAAAGTCTTTAGAGCCTAACTTCTGTGATAAGATGCGAGATTTAGTGAACTGAGAATAATGGAGTTTAGCATCAGAAAGCACCTTTTTTACCACCTTGTTTGTTCTCAAGAAAGTTGTTCTTTTGAAAAAGATGAAAAAAATAATTACGACTGGATATAGCAGCCGCACAAGAAGGAGAAAACAATGGAGTAGAATGAGGCTTGACTTGAAACCAACGAGAAGGAATAAAAGCTTCCATTCCAGCCTGAATCCAGGAGACTACGTAGGAGGCGCATTTATCAGCTGAGAGAGAAAAAACATCAGCCCAAGGACCATCATGAAGAAAATTACAAAAAGAATCCCAGTCAGCTTTAGGGTAGTAATAGGTGGTGCGATGATAAGGTGAGCCCAAAAAAGAAGTATGAGAAGAAAGATTTATAAAGATCATTGCATGGTCAGAACCACCTAAGGGAGAAAAGAGAGAAACTGAACATAAGCTAGGGTCAGAGACAAGACATAAGTCAAGGAGTAAAGGTAAATGATTAGGGTTGTCAGGAAAACAAGTCACAAAGTTAACTATCGGAGAAAGAGATTGAGAAATGCAGAAGTTAAAGGCTTTAGTGCCAGCAGGATCAGTGGTGTTAGAGCTGAGCCATTCAGTGTGATGGGCATTAAAATCACCAACAACAACAATATTGACAGAGGGGTAAAGAGAGAGGGCATGGTCAATTTGATCAGAGATAACATCTAAAAGAGTGCAATCATGAGCAGAACGAGAATGATAAAGAACAAAGAGAAAGGTGATAGAGTGAAGAGATGCTAGGCGAAAGCACATAAAAGAATGGTCAAAGGATTCAAACCTGATTTCACGACAAATAGGGGAACTAATGCGTTAGTATACCCTAAACCTAGCATGTGACTATTTGAGTCTTTATGAATCAAAGGATAGTACCCATCAACACTGACATCTGAAGAAGGAATTGCAGAACTTAAATTTGTTTCACTAAGTGCAAGCAAGTCTGGTGAATTTTGCAGGAGGTAAGACTCAACTGATGGAAAGTTGCTTCGTAGACCGCGAATATTTGTAAAAGATATATTAAAATATTCAGGTGGTGGGGATGGTTTTTTAGGTTTTAAATTTTTGGTTACTTTGGTCATGATTTGGTTTAATGAGAACTTGACTCATTCATAGATAGAGCACAGCCTCCTAATCATTGAGCTATGCAGTTGTCTCAGTCCTGTTAATTAACCCTAAGCCGTGACATAGGGCTCCTTCTGTGGCCTTGACAATGCACACCAAAAGCATTAACAGCGACACCATCCATGCGCAACATGGCACTGATGTTTTGCAGCTGTTGATGGAATCAGCCATCTCTGAGAGCTACCACAGAGTTCGGGAAACCTTACTATCAGCCAGCCTCAGAACCATTAAACTGAGTTTCAGAGCTGTACCCTCATATGGAGATAACAGGAAGAGTTGCATAGCCATTATCAAGGAGACAAGCAAAATTCTATGTGTAGAGTCAAAGAGATCCAGCATTCATCATCCTAGGCAGGAAACAATGTAACACAGGTTACATCTATGCCAGCCTAATAGATGAAGAAGGGGTTCGAGGCTGGTTAGCAGAATTTTTCTGCTTACCCCTAAAGTCTTTGCCTAGAAGGCCTTCTACAAGACAGTAGCTGGATGCAGTTAACATCTGCCCAAGATGAGTATTTTTATCGAGACACCATTTCTAGCCTTTACTCAACCAAGAGCTTCAAGGCATGGGATGTTTAGCTGGATGCAGTTAACATCTGCCCAAGATGAGTGTTTTTATCGAGACACGATCTCTGGCCTTTACTCAACCAAGAGCCCCTGGTATGTAATACCAGTAGCAAGATTGATCTTGATTATCCTGACCTGACCTGGAGTAGTTAAAAGGAGTTACTTCCCCCAACAGTACTTTAAGAAAACCAGGCATGACATTTTGGAAGTGCATTAGGAAAAACACTGCATCTAACTAAATACAGGAGTCTAAGGTGAGTGTAGGTTTTGTAGTTGGAGTAAGTTGCTAGTTACTGAGCTCACGCTGCATCATAGAATAAACAGAACACAAACAAACATAAATCAACTTACGGGTGAGTCAACACTGCGCCAGAGGTTCAGACAGAACACAAACATACATAAAAAACATAAAGTAACTTACGGGTGAGCGAACACCGCGCCAGAGGTTCAGACAAAACACAAACATACATATAAAGTAGATAACAGGTGAGCTAATACAGTAACTAAGGCACCACCAACTATAAAAAAAAAAAAAAAAAAAATTTATATATATATTACTATAGGCATGACTGATATAAGATAGTACTGATGACAGGAAGCACACTCCTTCCAGCCTTTGCTTAGAAAGCAAATCCTGCAAGGCAGCAGAACATGGAACAGGTTGCACTGGGTTACATGTTACCAGTAGCAGGATGATCATAAAGACCATACTCCTGACCTGACACAACTGGCTATATCAATAGTTGAAGATACATCATTTTGTTTTAAGCAGTTTGGCGATTATGTCAGAGAGATTAATCGCGGTGGTTTAAGTTTGCCTGGAGATAACATTTGCCATTGGATATTTTATTCATACATTTTATTTCATCATCTTTACACTTTTTTCTGTCGTGTTAGCTTATCTAACTGTTTTTTGATGGTATCTAACTTTTATGGATTTACCGATGTTTCAAAAAAACATTGTAGAATCCTTGCCAATATATTTTTTAACAACTATTGCCATCTCTATATCCTGATCATTTTTCAAAGGAACCCAAAATGAAAATTTTGAAGTTATCTTAAATATAGAATATTTAGTTTTTTACACAATAAAATGTGAGTTTTTACTATATTATACCTTATGAAATGTGCTTTGCATTTATTATACAATTTTTTTTTTCATTTCGGAGGTTTAATTCATTTAATTGTTACAAAAATCTTTATTTATGACTTACATATAAATTACAAAAAAAAAGCTGTATGCTTCATAAAAAAAACTCGCCTGCAGTTTTTATAAAAGCCGAATGTTTACTCGGCCTGTCACTATAGTAGGCCATGGTATGAGGGTAACTGGAAAGCAAAAAACGTGAAACAACTACACACCAGAATAAAGCTTTGTCTGAAAAAAATTGACATTAACCTTTTCACTTATTGGATTATATCATCTTCGAATTAGTCAAATCCAAATAAACAGACTGGTTCAAGACAAACTTAATACAAATAAATAACTAAAAACTTTATTTGATGACATTTTTATAAAATCTCTAACTTAAAAACTATAGGAGTGACATTTGAAAGTATGTCCGGATTTTTAGTAACCACACGTTACAAAAGAATATTACATTTGTTTTATCACTAAAGTTTTCAAGTTGCATTTATATAATATACAGCTATTTAAAACATATGTATGTAATTAAGTAATTTGTCAGTAATATGTAGGTAATTTGTAGGGATAGAATTACACATTATAACATATATAAAATTACACATTATAACATATATAAAAATTAAGAAAGAAAAGCAGAATAATATTTTTTTAAACAATTTTTTCTATTCATCTGAGAAAACTACATTCTTTTTTTTAAATTTTAATTGCTCTTACAACCCTTAAACACTTTAATTTAACACTTGAACACGAGCCTTGATAAAGGCTACCGAAAAGAGGAACATTTACTACTAGAGACATGGTGAGGATTTAACTTGGAACATATTGCTTACAAAGCTAGGACTATTTTACTGGTTAATATAAAAATCACATGATGAAATATTCTTCCTTAATTTAAGGAATTAAGAAAGATTAAGGAATTGTTCTCAAACATACAACAAAGCTTTTATTTTTAATTGTAGATTTTAAGTTAATCTACTTATAATTTTTTTCTTCTTCCACTAATGCCATTTCAAATGGAAGTTATTTCTTTCTTTTCACCAAAATATCTAATCTTGAGAACAAACCTTTTTTTTATTATTGTAAGGAATTAAAGCAAAAAACTTGAACGCAAAGTATAATACTAATTATTCTCAGATTACAAAATCTATAAGTTAGATTCTAGATAAAAAAAGATTTAACTTTAGATACTGTGTTTCTTATAGTCTTTCATATATATACTGAACACAGTATGTGTCTATATATCGTATAATATAAACTCCAAATCAAAGTTGATAAAGCTACAAGAGAAAAAACTAAAAAACTTTTTTGAAGCAGAAAAAAAAGCTTTTTTGAACAAAAATTTAAATTTTTAAATAAAGCTACTTTAAAACATAAGGATAAAGAGTTAAAGAAAGAATAGAAAGGTAGAAGGAAGGTTGTGTAGAAGAGAGGTTGTGTAGAAGAGAGGTTGCAGTAAAAGATTGAATAGAAGTAAAGAGTGCTTTGGACTGAGCAGTCAAACATATGAAACAATACTTAACAAAATAATTACTGTATTTTATGAATTTGGTCAGAAATTAAGCAAATTATCTCTATTAACAAAAACATGTTAGAGGCTATTTTACTACCTTACCTAATTAAAACATATTAGAGGCTATCTTACTACCTTACCTTATGAAAACATGTTAGAGAAAAAACCAATCAAAAAACAACCAATCAAAAAATAACCTTATCATTATACTTTATTGCAATTAAATCTCCTTTTGTAAGACAAGCAAATGAACGCAATACTTTTTCTAAACTATAACAAATAACAGAAATTATTGAAAGATAAAATTAAAGTTAATAACTGTAATTTATTTTAATAGACATACAAAATGTATAATAAATAATAAATCAAATTAAACTATTTTTGATTCTAAATAATATTTCTACTGTGGGTTAAATGGAGATGCTTTTAAATTTAAAATATATTTCATTCAAATATTATATATATGATTTACTTTTTCAGGTTTTTGTTTTATTTTCTTAATTTTAAAAATTTTTCAGATTTTTAAAATTTGTTTTCAGTTTACAGTTATTTTTCATACAGAGAATTCTAAACTCTTTGTATGAAAAATAACTGTGCAGCTATGGCGCAGTGGTTAGAGCGCTTGCTTAATAAGCAGGAGATCCAGGTTCAAAACGAGCTGGGCATATTTTCGCGTCACGGTAAGGAAGGAGGCATGAACTTCCTGGTTAAATGCACTTGCGTGGTGCTCTGTGAAAACACCGTTAGATCTTCTTGGGTCACCTAAATAACAAAATAAATTAATAATAAAAAAAAAAAAAAAATTTTCTTTATTTAAGGATATCATAACGCTTAAAATCTTTTAAACTTTAGAGCTTTTTATTTTAATGACAATCAGGACTTTATAAATAGTTTGGCAGAGCCAACTATTGTTTCTTCTGTCCAGTCTGGGTGGAACTATCTGGTTTCTGGTTGGAAATTCTTTTCATTAGAAAAGATAATCAAAAGTTTTATTTGTGAGGATTTTTAGGTTTTAAAAGCGGTTTCTTTTTAAATTGTATTACCTTTATCTGCTATGGTCTAAACTAAACTCTTTTAAAAACAAATGGTATTTGAAAATTTCTGCAATAATTGCGCAAATGACCTACACATGTTGAATCCAACATGTGTAGGTCTTTTGGTATGGAGTGCATTATACATACCTTACACAAGCCTTCCTGTTAGAGAAGACTTGCATAAGATAATACCCTTGTTCGTCCACGATTTAAGTAATTTTTTAGACAAACTGACCACGCCAGTTCGCATCTTTTAGCTTATAAAGTGTTTCAATAATTTGCAGCAAAATGGTAAACTTATCTACTAAGAAAAAAAAAAATTTAAAAAAAGGAAACAAAGTTGTAATGAAATATCATATTAAATTAGATAAACTAGAAACTTTAATAATCAGAAAAAGGTATTTTTTTTTTTTTTATAAAATATTGTATAAAAAATACAACTTTTGTATTTTTTTTTTAGAGTTGTTGAAAAAAATATTATCTTTTATAACCATTTAGCCACAATTGAAAGGTTTGATATGCAATTTATTCACGATTTCTACCAGTCCATATAATTAAAAAACTAATTTACTATGTACGCTAAAACTATAAAAAATTTTGTTAATTTTTTTTCTTACATTTATTTGTTTATAAGTCTTTTCACTTTTAAAAATGCTTTTGTTATATTTGATATTTTCTCTTAATACTTATATAATAGGACAATAAAAAAAATAAATAGTTATTTATTTGTAAAAAATACTATTTGATTTATAAATTTTGTAATGAAGGAATAAGTTAAATATAAGAATAACATTGTTTCTTTAATAAATGCATTTTCTGAATTTGATGCATTTCTAAAAATTTTTTTTAAATAGAGATTTATTTGTAAAAAATTTTTTTACAAATAAATCTCTATTTAATAATAATGAACTTAATAGTAGTAGTGTCCTTTCGAGCCTGTTTGACACAATACTCTTGACAGCTATTGCAACCGAGGTAATGGCGAGAAAGAGTCTGACCTTTGCTTTATAAGAAAAAGTGAGCAAACACGAAACTTATATTGTATGTACCTAAACTTCATGTTATGTAATGTTGAAACATGCTTAAACATATATTAAGTTTTACAGTTTGATTTTAACTTAAGAACTGCATTTTGTCAACCTCTTCTTAATTTTTGATCTTTAGCATATATATCCGTTAAAAATTTTTTAAATATAGTTTCAAAACTTTGTGTCAGCATAACTGAGAGGTTAGCGCACTGGGCTTCAGAACAAGATAGCCGTGGTTCAATTCCTACCGTTGACAACTTTTTTTTCAAATTTTTTTAGACTTTTTAAATACAATTTTAAATACTTATAAAGTTTTATAGAAATTGAATATAGACAACATATGTAAAGATATTAATCAAAGATTTGATCCGCGCCTAGCACTTTGACACAGAACTGGCTTCGCTAACGAGAGAAAAAATAGTTCACAAAATTTCAAAATTTTGTTTTGTCGTTAAGTCCTTAAACACTTAGTTTCCAACTTTCTTGACATATTCCAAGTCTCTTTGAGAAAAAACTTTGTTGATCAAACAAACAAAAACAGAAATTTAGCTTTGTTGTATATGATAAATATTGCTATGGTACAAAATGCCAACCGAGGTTTTTTAAACAAAATGCCAATTGAGTTTTACTTCCATGTGGCTTTAATCCACCACGAGGCTTAGTTAAATGCTTTTAAGTTAAATGTTAAAAAAAATATCAAATTTAAAGCTTTTTAAAGCTTAAAAAAATAATTTTTTACAAATTTTTTCCGCCATCTTTTTAATCCTTGACTTTTGGATTTAGATTTATTACATTGATAATTATATTGTCATATTATTTTTGTTAGATTACTACATTGTTAGATATTTTTTTATAAATTTTATAAATAATTACTCAAAATCATGTCAGGTAGCATTTGTTTTTTATTTTCTCTTTAGCGATTTTTTTTGAAATTGTTTATTGACCTCTTTTTAAATTTTTAGAAGTTTTAGATGATGATTTAATGTTTAGTAAGTCGCTTATATTTTATTTTTATTTGTTCAGTAATTCAATTTTAGTTGTCTTTATTTGCTCATTAAGTCGCCAATTTCGTTTTTATTTATTTGTTAAGTTTTTTTGTTTATTTGCCTTCCATATACTTTACTCTTTGCTTTTAGTTAAACCACATTTTTTTAAAGTTATCTGTATTTCTTTTTATTTTTAATACTGAACATTTTTTTATTTAGTGGTGCAACCACAATCTGGTAAGAACTTTTCTATGCTTTTTAATTTTTTTTTCTTTTACTTATTTTTTTTTTAAAAGCAGATACACAACCACAATCTGATAAGAAAGAAACCTTTTGTTTCAATGTTTTTATATCTTTTTTAAAAAAGTTCCAATATATTGTCTTTTTCTTTTTCTTTACTGTATTTTTTTTAAATCTGTATTTATATTTTTACTAGAACCGCAACAACAATTACAATCAGGAAAATGTTGTTGCGGTTCTAATAAAATAATGTTCTGTTGATAACAGTTTGTTTTCTATTTATTTAAATTTTATTATTTTAGGATTTTTATAGACATAAAATGTATTAGTGTATGTATTTTTTTTTTGTAGTGAACTTTCAACAAATGTTTTGTAAGTTTTGATTTTTAAATTTTTTTTTTAAATTATTAGTTATTATGTTTATAATTTAATTAAATTATTTTTTGATTGTGTCATAATCAATAGCTCATGTTATTTTAGTGCAATCTATGGAAGAAACGTGTAAGATTTTGGATTCTATTGATTATTAAACTTTTTATTTAATATTGGAATACTCATGTTTTATTTAATTTTTTAAAATATCACTTAACATAGAACTATAATACAGTAAAATTGTTTTTACTCTTTAATTAATAGTTTTTTAAGGAAGATGGAGGAGCAATCCTGTATGAAAATATCTTTAACTTTATATTTTTATAATATGGTTCTTTCTAAATAATTATTGATTATGCAGTATGATTATACACATACATGTTGGTGGTATACACATCACCACATTATATAAAATTATAGTATTATTTAAATATATAGAAGAATTTAGTTTCTTTTTTATTATGAAATCATAGATTTTTTGATTATATATAGTCCGGACACCATCATTGTCAATGGCAGCAGCTGCCACAACTCTTGGTAAATGAACAGCTTTTTTATATTATTATTAGAATAATTATTAGTCATTGTTATTTTTTTATTTAGTTAATTACTTTTATTTAATACTTTATCAGCAACAATAACAACAACAACAACAAGTGAACCATCTGCTATAAGTGCAACTGCTGCTGGTGAGTTAAATTTTAGTTTTACATTAGTATGAATACTGTGTTATTATTATGTAACTGTAAAATGTGATGTTTACTTATTTTTTTTAATTCTTAATTTACTTTTTATCTTTATAACTTATTCATTTTTGTGATTCACTTTTTGTCTAAGATTTTACTTTTGTTACTTTTATCATTTTAGATTTGTCATATGAGGCTTTTATTGTTTACCGAAGGCAGCATTCAGGACCCATATCCTACAGGGCCCATAGGATATGGGTCTCTAATAATGGAGCAGATCTCCCCTCTTTTCGTTGGGGAAGAAGAAGAAGATATGGGAGGGGTGGGTGGGAGGGGTTTGGTGTTACCTTTAATTATAATTACAATTAGATAAAATTTTACAATATATGCACTGTTGTTTTTTTTAACCCTTCCTAAGATAAATATTGTCAATGTTGTAAATATTTTTAAACAATAAAGGCGTTTATGACTTTTTTTAAATATATGAGGTGCCTTAAAGTAAAAGGTACCAAGTCTTTGGAGTTACTGATACAGTTGCATAGAGTTAGGAATAAGCCACAAAATAAAACAAAAATTAGCTTGATAGCATTATCATTGAAAATTCTGCATATTTTTTCATGGAAATGTTTTAAAAATGAAATTACAGTAAGCGTCTCCCCTCTATCCTTTGGGATTCGAGAGTCACCATTAAATTATGACAAAAGTTGCAAGAAATGTCACGCAATTGCCATTTATGCTAGAGTTAGTGTTTACGCAATCAATAAGTTTAATCTTCCCATCTAGGACATTAAAAATTATCATTTAGGAAGATGTTTTCATTTGATTAAGATTTTTTTTTTGTTAAAAGCCGGATAAGAGTTCTAATGAGCTGCAAGCACGTGGATATAGTGCAGATCGATATCCTAAAGACCTGTAATTTATGGG